GAGCCTGAAACTGTTAGTGTGGCCTAATAAGACCCTACCCCACTTTTAGCTCTTCTCATGCCACCCTGTGCTCCCTCAATAGTCCTGCCTTATTGGCCTTCTTTAAGTTCCTTGAAAACATTATTTTCTTTCCTTTTCTTGCCTCAGAGCCACAGTAATTGATGTTTCTTCTTTCTGGATTACTCTTTATCAACTTTTCCACCTGGGTAGTTCTCAAAGCATTACTTCCTTAGAGAAACTATTTTTATCCTTCAAACTATGTTAAATACTTTTGTTAGATAGTCTCTTGACATTCTATAGTTTTCTTTCTCAGCACTCATCCTAGACATCATTCATAGTTACTTACGAAGGGTTTAATAGTGCTGTTAAAACAGGGACCATTTCTGAGTTGCTTGTTGTTGCACTTCTATCATTTAGAACAGTGTTTAGGTAATAGTGGGCTTCCCTGGTGGCTCAGATGTTAGTGTCTGTCTGCAATGCTGGAGACCCGGGTTCGATCCCTGGGTTGGGAAGATCCCCTGGAGAAGGAAATGGCAACCCACTCCAGTACTCTTGTCTGGAAAATCCCATGGACAGAGGAGCCTGGTAGGCTACAGTCCATGGTGTCGCAAAGAGTTGGACACGACTGAGCGACTTTACTTACTTAGGTAATAGTACACTAAATAAAGATTTGCCATTGAAAAATTTCACCAATACTGGAAAATGTGCTTGAAAGGTGCAAAGATTGGTTCATATATCCATTTCTACCTTAAATAATAATGTTGAAATGAGGGCTAAAGAGTTCTTATTCTCTCTCCAGTACTAACTATATGATCTTGGGCATGCTACTTGTACTCTCTAGACCTTGGCTTATTAGTACAATGAAGAGGTCAGACTAGACTAAATGATCTGTTAAGCCCCTTTCAGTTGTAGGTACTAAGTATGTTACTGTTCAGCTTACCAAAATTTTAATACTGGCTACTTTATTAAAACTGAACTAATAATAAACATAGAATTTTTCAGCCATAAAATAGTAAAAGTGTTTCTTAAAGTGCTCCTATAAAATATGAGTGATTTTATAATTTTGAAAAATATTTAGCTAGGCTCATTTTTACATGTATGTACTCTATGTCTTTTATATATTTTGGATAAAGAGACAATTCAGTATCCCAAATGACCACTGAACATTTTTGCAAAATTAAAATGGAAAGACCTATATTTACAAAAACAATCTTCATCAAACTTTACAGGACTTTGACTAAGCCTAATGTAAGCTTTCCCTGGTGGCTCAGACGGTAAAGCATCTGTCTACAATGTGGGAGACCTGGGTTCGATCCCTGGGTCGGGAAGCTTCCCTGGAGAAGGAAATGGCAACCCACTCCAGTACTCTTGCCTGGAAAAATCCCATGGACGGAGGAGCCTGGTGCAGGTTACTGTCCCTGGGGTTGCAAAGAGTCACGACTGAGTGACTTCACTTCACAATGTAAACTTTACTACATTGCTGATTTTTTTAAAACCTCAGTGTTGTTTGGAGATGAATGTTCATCATCATCATCATTATAACTATGAACAGTGATCTGAGAATCTTACATGAAATGATATTTTTGTAAATTATTATGTAGTAGTTAGAGTTTAACCTGTTTTCCTTCCTAAACCATTAGTTTTCAAAGGAGTTTTCTAACTTAAAGCTATTTATTTAAATAACTAATATTTTATGTTCTTTCAGAAAAGGATGCAGTAACATTTAGGGAAAATTTAAATTTATACATAATCAGGCTAGTACTACAATCTGTGTTAGAAAAGTGTAAAGTGGGTTAGTGAAGCCAGTAGTTATTCAGGACCTATCTAGTCAACATTCTAAAAATGATTTCAAAAAAACAGTTTCTTAGAATAATTTAACTTGGACTGAATTTATTTTCCTTTTATATCTTAAAACTCATTGCCATAAAATTATTCATCACATTTACAATTAATGTAATCATATACCACTGCTGTTGCCTTATCTGTAGAGAGAATATCTCTCCTCCCTAATATCCAATGATTTTATATAGGACATTAATTCAGAAAATATTGATTGACTATCTCTTATTTGCAAGGCACTATTCTTGATACTAGGCATTCAAAAGTAATTAGGTTGATCATGACTTCAATAAGCTTATAGTTGATCAAACATGATAAGACATGAGTATAGCTATGTTATTTAGTCACTAAAGTCGTGCCAACATTTTAGCAACCTCATGGACTGTAACCCACCAGGCTCCTCTGTCCATGGGATTTCCCAGGCAAGAATAATGGAATGGGTTGCCATTTCCTTCTCCAAGTGATCTTCCCAATCCAGGGATCAAACCCTCTTGTCCTGCATTAGCAGGTGAGTTCTTTACCACTGAGCCACCAGGGAAACCAGTGCATATCTATCCACAAGGTTTTAAAAAAGTGATAAGAATTGCAGGGAAGGTACAAATTAAATGCTAAGGATCTTTATCTTACATCCCCTCCAGAGCCATAAGCTTGTTCCAAGACTTTGAATCCTCCTCAGCTCCTAATGAAAGTGAAAGTCACTCAGTCCTGTCTGACTCTTTGCAACTGCATGGACTAGTTCTCCAGGCCAGAATCCTGGAGTGGGTAGCTTTTTCCCTTCTCCAGCAGATCTTCCCTTCTCCAGCCCGGGCGTCCCTGATAGCTCAGTTGGTTAAGAATCTGCCTGCAATGCGGTAAACCTGAGTTTGATCCTTGGGTTGGGAAGATCCCCTGGAGAAGAGAAAGGCTACCCACTCCAGTATCTAGCCTAGAGAATTCCATGGACTGTGTAGTCCATAGAGTCACAAATAGTTGGACACGACTGAACTACTTTCACAGCTCCTAATACAAAGCCTGACATATAGAACATATTCAATTAATGTTTGCTTAGAAGATGAGCTATTTGTGAAATTATTCCATAAACCTATGCCTGTTCAATGAATGAGATTCTTTTATCCAAGTCAGATCTAAAGTCCTCAATCTGAAAAGCTCTATACTTATATCTAAAATATTTTGTTAGAATGTGAAAATATTTATTTCCATGAGCACTTTCTATCTTTACGATGAACTTTAATTTCTGATTTCTATTGCAAGGCTCATTCTACTAAATCTTATCTAATATTTTACTGTCCAGTTTACCCAGCTCTGTAAGTTTTATAAACTATGGCTATACTTCTTCCTGCATCTAATGTATCAGTAACACAACACCCAAGGAACTCCAAGAAATCATAATTCTTAAAGAATCTTGTCTTTCTTAAGTACAATCCTAAGAAAGAAATAGAAAATAAATGATTGTCAAAGCTTTAGAGGAAGCAATTAACACTACTCTATTTCTAAAAAGCAACTATAATGTTCAATTATTTTGAAGGATTTCTGAATTTAATCAACTTTAAAAAAAATAGATTTGTTTAGATTTATGTCCAATGATTTGTTTTTCAGCTTTTCTTCACTGGTTGAAGTTCCCTGAAGGACTCGAGATTGAGTAAAATTGACTTTCTTCTGATCTTGTGAATCAGGAGCTAAAATGAAGGCATAAATGATTTCTAAGGACTCTTGCCTGTCTAAGATTTCCTGACTCTTTAATACTCAATAGTAAGGCATACTGGTGATGATACCAGGTACCATTTATCAGCATATAGTCATTACTTTTCCAACTCTCAACTGTCTCCACTCCATTCAGTATAGAATGCTTCCTCACTGGCTTCGCACCAACTCCACCCCGCCCCCACCCCCGCCCCTTTTGAAGACACCTGGCTGAATTTTAAAAGCAAAGAGTGTAACAGAATAAAAAGGAAACAAGACAGTCCTTTTTCTCCCTGAAGTTCTAGCAGTTTGACTGGCTATTACTTGTGAATTTTTCTTGCCACTGAGTCATTGCACATACAGAATTATGAAACTTTAATTTCTTTAGAGGCTTGTTATATTAGAGAAATTGTTCCAAAGAAAGCAACAATCATGACATAAGCACATCTGGCTCTTGCAAATTATTCTTTATTAAGCTTTCATTTAATTACATGTGCTGAAAGGTCTGTTTTTGATTACTGTAATTTTTTTTATTTGTCCATCTGAATGATAGTAATGCTGGAAATTACATACAAACCACCTGTTTTTTCTCCTCTACTAATATGGCAAAGTTTGAGCTGTTTTCTCTGTGGTTGATGAACTAGGAAGCTTTCTATTTATTATGATAAAAATATGACTATCAAGGTAATGGCTTAATCTTGATGATAAGAAGAAAAGAAAATATTTGAATGGCATTTTCAAGCATGAAATTGTGTTAAAATTGAGGTATCTGAATTCTGGTTAACCATAACAGATTAACACATTTATTTATCACCAATTTCACCCCAAAGCTAATAAATCTACAGTTAAGGATTTCACATCCTGTGCTAGGAAAAAGAAGCTTGACTTTTTTCCCTCCACAAATCTGCCTATATTCTCTTTAGGATTATGCTATATGCCACATAGAGGAAGGAGGGACTGCTACTGGGCCTTAGGGATCTTGAGGCAGCACTCTCAATACCCAGAGGGCTCAGCATCCCTAGAGAAGTTAGTCAGTACTGAATTAGAACGGTGTTCTTCCAGAAGTGCCTAGGAAAGTTTAGATCAGTTTCTTAGTTCATGAATATTAAAATTACAGGAATGGACATAACAACATTTAATGCACTTTATAATGATTTTAAGTACTCGAAAGAATATTTGAGACCATTTAGTCAAATTCCTTTCTGTACGATTGAAGAAACTAAGTTCCAGAGCAAGTCAATCCTTTGTTTAGGGTCCTAAACTTATTTTTAGAAGGACCAGGAACAGAATAATGGCTCCCATATCACTGCTCTTTCTTTCTGTTATACTATTTATTCCTTTTTATCTTCTTCTTTAAAAATAGTGAAAGAGAAATTTCAAAGCTGTCAGAGAAATAGTTATCTAACAATACGGTAAGTTGTTTTGGAAGCTCTGTTTCAGCTGCATTTAAAAAGATGATTTTTGTCTTCCCTGTTTTGCAGCAGCTCTATGCCGCTCAGCTGGCCAGCATGCAGGTGTCACCTGGAGCAAAGATGCCATCAACTCCACAGCCACCAAACGCAGCAGGGGCAGTCTCACCTACTGGGATAAAAAATGAAAAGAGAGGGACCAGCCCTGTAACTCAAGTTAAGGTATTTGCTTTGCAGGATTATGGAAACAGTTTGGAAAATAGCTTCACAAGAAAGGTAGTGAACCAGGCTGTGCTGGGCTTAAACAGCAGGAAGCAAAGCAACATAAAGGAACCCCAAAATGTTCCTCTTTATGGTAAATTTCATGATTGAGCACTGAGAAACAGGTGTTTCCCTTTTGATAACAATAGTGCCATATTGTGAGATCTTTACCTAAATCTGCAAACTTACTTCTCAAGAGTTTTTCCCTTTTGGATTCTAGCTTTTATTTTTTAATGTTCATTGGCATGTATGGCCATGGTTTTATTACCAGTCTTTGTCATAGTCTTGTGACACTTCTCTCTAACTTTAAACAGGTGGAGAGCCTACTTATAGTGCTAGAGGAGGAAGATCTCAAAACTTTAGATTGACAAGGAAAAAAGAGAACCTTTATATGGTTTGATGGTAAAGGTCTCTCTCCCTCAAACAATAGTTATAAATGTGGGCTTTGAGGAATGAGGGTGGTGTCATAATCTAATTATGCTTTGATGCCATGTATAGTTGTGATAGGATAAATAGGATCACCCAAGTTATGACTGAAACATTAATAGATCCTTTCCTCACTGATTTTCAGTGTCTTAAAATGGGCTAGCCAGGAAGTAGTTGGTGACAGAGGGGAACTGATGATCCAGTCTAGCTTTGTGCTGCAACTGGTACTGACAGGTTTTTATGATTGTTTTTGCTTCCTATATTGAATAAAAAAATTCAGAAAGTTCAAAGAAACAATTCTTTTATATCATTGACTTACTTACTTTGAAGGATACACTAAGCACAGATGTATTACTGTATGTGTCCAAAGTACTGCCTTTGGAGAAATCTTGCCATATTACTTCATTACATGGGAAATATCTAAGGCCAACGAAACAGCATTGAAATCCACAAAATTACTGAAATTGTTTTATTTTCTAAAATTTGTAGATAGGGATTTTGAGATTTTAGGAAAGCCATTAAAAATATGGATCCCAAACACTAAAGATTAAAAAAAGAGTAAACATAATTAGGAGGGATAGTTCTGTCTATGCCCATCTAAAGGAATTAATTTAATGTCCCCCATGCCTTTAGATTCTCCAAAGAAGTAGATGAACATTTATGCTTTGTGGTTAGAAATATTGAGATATGACAATAGGAGGTTTACATTTAATAAGATAGCATTAACTTATGGAAACAGACTATTTTGTGTTCCAAGAGTTTCTTTTTGTGAGTAAGAGAACACTACAATTCAAACCAAAGCACTTTGTTTAACTATAGTTGTTGGAGTGTAAGCATATCAAACATCAGTGACTTGAGGTATTGAGTATTAAATATTTTAACATGAAAAAGTCATTTTACAAGTGAGTTGGCCAAATGGAATTGCACCAAACCAAGCCTTTACTGGATGAGTAAAATGTTCCCTGGTTAGATTCAAGTTTATATCTTCTTTTACCATTCCAGCTTTGTGGGCCAACTGAATTTTATTACTCACTTGACCACATACAAATTCTTAGGGAGCTCTCTATATAATTTAACTTGACTCTACTTTATGTTAATAACAAAGGAAACATTTATCATACTTATTAGATTGTTTATTGTATGTGTGAGTAAAACTATATAGACCAAGACATAAAGCAAATGTTTTAAATTTTTAAAATAGCTCCAACCTATTATTGTAGAAGTTCTAAAAATAATCTTATGTTTTGCTAATTGAAAGAATTATGGTCACTAAAATATCTCATGTTTCTGTCTATAGTCATTCTTTCCCTCTGTATATAACATGACTAAGTAACCTAGGGCATTGTTAGCTGAAGGTAATAAAAGTAAAAATAGATGGTCTTCTGTTCCTTTTTTCCCTGAAGAATTTTTATTTGTTAGAGTTGTCAACATCAGTAGTTAGGATGTTTCTGTTCAAATGTCAGTTCTATGACTGACTTTTACTAACTGTGTCACCTTGAGCAAGTTACTTAACTTCTTTTAGCATCAGTTTTTTCCTCTGCAAATTGAAGATTAATATTATTATGGGTCTTCAGTGAGATAATACATCCTCTAGCATATAGTAAATATTTCATAAATGTTAGTATAGCAATGATGTTGATGGTAATCTGATGCTGGTAGGTGGTAAAGTGGTTGTGATTGAAATATCTGGTTGTATACCAAGAGAGATTCTAAAAGAAACCAAGAAATTTTCCATTTTGAACCATTATGGAGGAACAGGATTCTGTTTACTCTCCCAACTTAAAGGAGTAGAACTCAAGACAAAATATAGAACAGTGGTTTCAGACATTTCCAGTAGGAGTACAGGAGAGTGACCTCTGATAGAAGAGAAACGAGTGAGGCAGGCACCAGAGTTGTTCCAGCTTACTACCTTGAGAGACCTTCCAGGCAGTAGTGTGGTGTGTATGTGGGGGTTACCCACATGCTGCTTGACAGACTTCCTGAGTAGACAGACAAGACTTAGAGTTTCAAGATGCCAAGGTAGATGGAATTTGTGAGATAGCGTGCCAGAGGAGAGAACGATATAGAGAGAGAGCACAGGAGATCCCCAGAAGGTTCCCCTGTATTTAGCTGAGTATTGCGCAGTATACGCATGTGAGGAAGCTATCTGAGGCCAAGGGGAAAGCAAGATGTAGCAGGCAACACCATTACAACGTTCATGAAGAACTGAGAATGATTTGTACTCCCGTTGGCCAGATTGGAAAGATCTCTTGACACATGGGCACCTAGCAGGGTATTACTTAACTAGTAGGGCCAAATTATCCCTATACCTGCCTAACGCAGTTTAAAAGCAAGCTTGGTAAGGCTTTCCGTGTCTTAGAACAAAGTCCACAAATATTTAATGTAACATGCAAAACTGATCTCCAACACTGTAAAAATCTCAATGTGGAGCATCTATTCAATACTTATCAGGCTTGCAAGAAAATATGAACAGTAATGAAGAGAATAAATCAATCATTAGAGACAAACCTCAAAATAACACAGGTGATGGAATTACTAGATAAGACAGTTTCTTAAAAGACACTTTCAACTAGACCAAGTGAAGAAGTAAGCATATCTGCTTCTCTTCACCTACAAAGTGTCTGTTGGGCCAGAACAAGCTGTGAGGATGAACAGCAGGCCTGCCGTGGTGGAAAAGAATTGATCTGATTGGGAGTTAATCAGTGCTTCCCATGCTCAGTGGCATTGTTGGTAGAAATGGAAATTATTGAATTGTAAGACTAAATAATAAATTAGAATATACATTCATACTTTTTTATTGAGCTTCATTTTATTGTGCTTCATAGCTATTGTACTTTTTACAAATTGAAAGTTTGTGACAATCCTGCATAGTCAGATGATGGTTAGCAATTTTTTTTAGCAATAAATTATTTTTAATTAGGCGTATACATTGTTTTTTAGATATAATGCCGTTGCACATTTAATAGACTACTGTATTGTATATAAACATAACTTTTATATGCAATGGGAAACCAAAAATTCATGTGATTTACTTTATTGGGTTATTTGATTTATTGCAGTGGTCTGAAACCAAACCCATAATGTCTCTGAAGTTTGCTATATTCAAAACTGAATAAAACTAGATATTATAAACTCCATATAGGCAAGAAACATGAACTTTAGAAAGTAGGACATAGAAAATTCATAATGAATGCCTAGAGATGAAAAATACAGTGTTTGAGATGAAAAGTACACTGGACTGATATTGATTTGGAATAGCAACAGATTAGATATTACAGAAGAAAAGACTAGTGAGCTTGATGACATAACAATGAAACTGTCCAAAATGAAATACATAGAAAAAAAGACTTATCAGTACTGTAGAACATCAAATGGCCTAATATGTACAAATAGAGCCCCAGAAGGAGAAGGAAGGGACAGAAAGTATATTTTGAAAAATAATGGCTGAAAATTTTCTAAATTTGAAGAAGACTCTGAACTAAGGGATCACAAGAAACTTGGTGAAGTAAAAGAAATGTAGAGAAAACCAACTAAATACCTAACTTAGAAATCACTGTTATTGAGAAATGAATAAAGGAATTAACTAGTCTAAATATTCCTCTGAATTCAGAGCAAAGGCAGGCAAACTTTAATTAAGCACCATTTGTGAGGGATGCAACTATATTTCCTGAGAACCTATCATATGTCTAGATAGAGATAAAAGTACATTGCACCGTAGACGTGCCAGATTATTTATTTCCTACCAAGACAAACAAACAAACAAAACAACAAAATAAAGCTAGGGTATCACGACACTATCAAATGACTTATTTTATCTGATAATTCAGTAAAAAAAAAAAAAAAGTGCCTGGGATTTGGAGCCTAATAAGCTATAATTCAAATTCTGTCCTTCCATGTATGGCTTTGGACAGTCATTTTATCACTTTGACTGCTTCTTTCTTTGTAAATGTAGAATACTACTGCCCAGTCTCATTGGTAGTTAAATGAACTAATATACTTGAAAATATCTAGCACAATGTTAGTCATAATGGCTCTTCTGTGCATGTTATTTTCATTTTCTCTTTCTAATCCTCCCAACTGATTACTATTTTCTGGCATCCCTATTTGTTCCCCCTTAAACAATGACCGTTAGTGCTGGAAGAGACCTTAGAGATCAGCTAGAATCAGGCCTTCTTTTCTATAGATGAAGATATGGAGTCCCAGAGAAATAACGTGTTTGCCATAGGGGAGAAGGTTCAGTTTCCAGGTTCTACTGTGTGTTTTAAACAACGACATGAAAAGCAAGTTCTCTGCTTCCTCAGAAGCAAAAGAGGAGTTAACATTTGCTGGAAATTTTATTTTAAACACAATACTGCAGATCTTAAAAACCTAGCATTTAAATGAGTATGTTCATATTACAATTAAATTTCTAGAATGATGGAAGTGTTGTTAAGGGTGTTACATGGCAGAATAAATTAAACAAAATAAAGGTAAGAAGCTTAGCTTTCAAGCTCCTGGTAAAACTAGAGTCACAAGCCAGATATTTGAATACTGTGCTCAGTACAGAATAGGCATCTTAAAATAGACATTCTGTAAATATATGTAGCAAAGAATATAAAGAGACATCACTTTAGACATGAAAAATAAATTGCATATAGCATGGTATGTAAAACATAATTATAATGTGTGTTTGCTCTTTGCAAAAATTAATTTTAAACATGAATAGAGACCAGAATATAGACCATGAAGAGTGCCCACACCCAGAAAGCCACATAGAAGCCATGCTGTGGCATGCGGCTCCCTGGGCAAAGGCCCAGGAGAGCAGAAGAAGGCTTACAGTGTTTCCATTTTTAAAGTACTTGCAATTGTTTGATTTAAAATATATATTAAAAAATTAGCGGCAGAGCCCATTTATAGTTCCAGGAACTTTTCAGAGAGAATAACACAAAAGCACTACAGAGCTGCTGAAATTTTAAATAATTCTTTGTAAATGCCCTAGGTTAATTTGGATCCCTGAAAACACATTAGGAAATTAAGCTGTAATGTGAGCTAATTCAGATTTTAATTTGGCAAAAAGAATGATCCAACTACACAGTTCATGTAAATAGAAGCATAACACAGGGAAATTAATGAGGTTTCCTTCCGATGAATCTTCAAGGAGGTAGATAATTAGCTTCTTTTGTTATTATCGTGGAGAATGTGGCATTGTCTCTGAGGTGTAGAATAACTGTGGCTTACTAAGTGATAATGTGCTTCATTTGTCTTTTTTTTTAGTAATTATTTATGTTAAACTTGTAGGATGAAGCAGCAGCACAACCGCTGAATCTCTCATCCCGACCCAAGACAGTTGAGCCTGTAAAGTCCCCAACGTCTCCCACCCAGAGCCTCTTCCCAGCCAGCAAAACCAGCCCTGTCAATCTGCCTAACAAAAGCAGCATCCCCAGCCCCATTGGAGGAAGTTTGGGAAGAGGATCCTCTTTAGGTAAATGGAAAGGTCAACACCAGGAAGAGACTTATGAATTAGGTAAAAGAAAGCAAAATGCGTTTAATGATGACTGATTCTTGTTTCAAAGTATTCTTTAGTCCAAGAAAAAGTTAAATACTGAAAGTAAATAATGTAAAAGTAAATTCTTTTCTACTGAAACATAACCCAGTGTGGCGTCTTGGGTGACTAGAACTTTCAGGAAAGGTTAGAATACAAATCCTGTTGGGATGCATTCTCCCAATGATGATGAGTTAGATCCAGCAATCAGAGATTTAGAAATTTCTGTGATGAGTCAGTGCTTTGCCACTGAAGCGACTCTAGGCAGAGTAAGAGTGACCATGAACTCTCCAAGGGCCTAAAGGAACCTGGCCTAAAAGCTGCCTGCCAAAAGTCCAAATTTTTTTGAAATTTTATGTTTTCTTTATAAAATGTGATTTTTATACCTTATCCCATATCAGTTTTGCATTGAAGCAAATATGACTGACACTTAAGTGACATCATATGAAATAAAGTTGATATCTTACTAGATGTGTCATAGTGACCCTCGGTCTTCTTACATTCTCTGATACACTGCCAATTGTCTCTGGGGATAGTCATACCCAGGCGTGAGAAGTATAGGGGAAGAATGGGACCCGGCATCAGGAAGCCTTGAACTGAGAAAGAGCCTTTACTTACTGGCTGTGTGACCCTGTGAAAATTATTTAATATTTTTGAACTCAGTTTTCTAATCTCTGGAAAGGAAATATTATTTCCTAGCTTATAGGTTGGTATGAGAATTAAGACAGAAATATATATATGTCTAAAGTCTCTAACATGGTATCTGGAACCCAGAAGGCATGCAACCAAAAAGACTGGACTGCCAAATACCAACACATTACAAATATATGTGGAATGAAACAGTAATTGTGAAAGTGGCAGAGAGCCAAATAAATATGAACATTATTATTACCATGCTCTTTAAGTTTCTTAATTTTCCAATAAAGACACAGAAGTTCAAAGGGATTTAGGACTAGAACCAGCATTTCTTTACTGTATTACCTTCCATGTTTTATTTAATCCTATAGCCTGATTTGCTTACAGCAATAAATAAGATAATGCATAAGTGTAGCCATTTACAGTTTAACCAAACATTTTGTCTATCTTATCTCATTTGATTTTTCACTATCATCTTATGAGTTAGGTAGCATATTATTGTAATTCTTGTATAATAAACTGTCATCTTACAGATAAAATGACTCATCCACAGCCATGTAGCTATTAATTAGCAGTCAAAACTAAAATCCAGGTCTTCTCACGGATAACTCAGTGCTCCTTTTGTAAACTCATAGTTGGAATGTTTGCTGAACAATGCTGAATCTTAAGTGACTCTTCTGATGATGAGATGTAAATCTTCCTCATTGAAACTGGGGACATTAGGATCTATCCAGCAGTCTCTCCTCTTTTTGAGTCAGGACACTCTTTTACGGGCCCAGAGATTTTTCTCTCCAAGTCAGTGGGATCGCTGTGGGAAAGAGAAATGAATCATTCCCAGCATGTGAATATGATCACTAGATTATTGAAAGTTGTGAAATGAGGGGAAAAAAAGCCAACATGAGGATAAATAATAGGCTTGATCTTGAAATGGCCCTCCTATAAACCACTTCTAAATTTCATTTGGAAAGCATTTGTTTTCTGTACTTAGCATAGTGAGGGACAAAAAGGACTGTATCACAGGCCCTTGCTCTTTTGGAGTTTATATCTTAGCAGAAGGTATTCCTTAGATCATTAGCTAGAAATGAGCTGAAATGATAGCACCCTTGTCCACACAATACTGGATGGATTTTCTTTTTTAATCATAAAAGCTTCAGAGCTAAAGATACAGGTTTTCTATTTCCTAAAAAGTGGCTATTTAACTTTCTAAAATTTTTCCATAGATAGCGTTGGGAATATTTTCTAAACTCGAGTGCATAAGCACATGTACTGCACACACATAGACGTGAGCTTGATCATAGTCTGGTTTTCTCTGTCCCATCTGTGAGGTGTGTGCACATACACAGATACACACACATACACACACACATGTGCTATGAAATGCTCATACCAGGAAACACACAAGCTGATCACATTAAACTTTACCACAGCAGCTGAAATCTATCAGTCAGTTGCCTTCTTTTTGTCTAAAATTGGAAAATTTAATCTAAAATATTGATTTTAACCTACAATAAAATGCAAGATATAGAGGAAATTTAGTTTAATTTTGAATTTTGTCCTTCTGTGCTGCATGGAATATAATGAAAGCAAATATTTCCACTTTATTTTAAGCTTCATCCTTATATAAATTCCATTCCCATACACACAGCCTCACTATCAAGAAGACAGGGAACTGAGAGCAGTGGGTGTTCAGGTTGTGGGTAGGAAATGGGTTGTCATTCTCTTGGTAAGTAACTGAGGCAGCATGAGTGGAATGCTTCATTAACCAGCCAGTGACTGGGGAACAGAGAGTGTGGTGTATTCCTTCCTACCCCCTCTTTTCTGCAGTGGATGTATGAACACACAGATACAGATATCGCTAAAGGATGTGCATAGCCTCACAGATTTTTTTTGACTGGGCCAAAAACAACTTTCCTGCATTAGCACACTAAATATAATGGGCAGCCTGCACAGATGTCTCTGTGCCCCTTCCTACCACTTTCATCCCAACTACTCTCCCACTAATTGTTAGATATAGCCAGAAAAGGTATGTGTGTGTGTGTGTGTACATATATAGGAATCTAGGAACCTTCATTTGTGAGGAAGCAAGTTAACAGAGCCCAGATAAACAGAAATGCTAGGGTATTCTCCAAGAACTAAAAACAAAAACCCAGCACATCTCGGTTACCCTGGATTTCTGTGGTCTATTGCATTTTTCTTAATAGCAAATGAGTCCCTTCCTTGCTCAGAGAATGTGGTGTTCTACAGGGGAGTGGACAGTAGTTGTATTTTTTAAGCGTCTAACCTTACAACCCTCTAATAATACATCCTGTGTATGCAGATATCCTGTCCAGTCTCAACTCTCCTGCCCTGTTTGGGGATCAGGATACAGTGATGAAAGCTATTCAGGAGGCTCGGAAGATGCGAGAACAGATCCAACGGGAGCAACAACAGCAACAGCCACATGGTGTTGATGGGAAGCTGTCCACCCTGAATAATATGGGGCTGAACAACTGTAGGAATGAAAAGGTAAAACTTGCTTCTCTCCTTCACTGGCTCTGCTAGACCCATTGACTCATTTTTATCTGGCTCTTTCCAGGCTCCAAAGCATCAACCTGCAGCCAAAGTTTTGGGCTTCTAGCTTGAGGACTGTCTTGCATTATGTTTAAGCATTACTGCTGATTAACGAATATACCTTTTCCCTCTTAGTGTGGGTTGCCTCTCAGGTACCCAACCAACCAGGGATTTGGCAGTCACCCCAAATCCCTGCCATTGGTGTTTTTCTGTCCCATTCCAAAAGGTTTAGAAATATCTTATAATAAGGGGGTATATGAGGTTACAGACTATCAGAATATTTTTAAAAAGCATATATACTCACAATAAAGGCTAATACATTATTATGGCTCATCACTGAATTAATTACTAAGTTCCCTATTAGCCTGAGCAAAACAGAAAATGGAGCAACTTACAAAATGCATTCATTTAGTTTTTTGATTCATCAGATTATTTCTCAAGTGCTTATTGTGTAATAGACACTGTTCTAGGCACTGGAGATACAACAGTGAACAAATAAGACAAATCTTGTTCTCATAGAGCTTACATTCTGATAGGGGAACACAGACGAAGAAAAAATAAAGAAGTACATAATGAATAATGTTGGTAACGTGAGGAGGTGAAATAGAAGCAAGTTAAGGAAATACAGTTACAGGATTGTTCCTTTAGCTAGGCTGGTAAGGACTCTGAGGAGGTGTCACGTAATAGAGAGAGTGAAGGAAGCCCTGTGCAGGCCACATGAAGAGCATCCAGGTAGTGGGAATAATAGGCTTAGAGGCCTTTAGAGTGTAGGACCAGCAACAAGGAGGCCAACTTAGCAAGAGCAGTGGAGGAAAGTGAGGAAAGGCAGAGCAGTGAGACCTAAAGGGAAGCGATAGCCTGGGGCAGAGTGTGGTAGACCTGTAGGCCTTGGAAGGACTATGTGTGTTTCACTCTGAATCTGATGAGAATTCCTACATTAGTTTTGTCCAGGGCATTGACATGATCTTATTTACATATAAAAAGGGTCTTTTTGCCAAATGTGTGAGAGCAGACTGCAGGAGGCTAAGAAAGGAAACAGGCAGACCAATTGAGAGGTTATTGTCATACAATGGGTGGAAAATGCTGATTACTTGATGAATTAGTGATCCTAGCCATTGCTTACCCTGTATCTGCATCACCCCAGTTTCTGCCTCCCTCTTCATATGGCTGTCTTCCCTCTGTGTATGTCCCCATGTCTCCAAATCTTCTTCTTCTTAAAAAGAACATCACTTATTGAATTTAGGGTCCACCCTAATCCAATGTGACTTTAAGTTGATTATATCTGCAAAGACCCAGTTTCCTACAGATGGAAAAAGAGATTACATAAATATATTAATTTCATACATTAAATTAATAATGACTTAACTCCCCCTCCCCTACCTTGATTGATCCTTTTAGCAGGAGGTTCACGTAAAGTAAGAGAGAAACTATCTGGGGGAATGGTGGGCCTTTTGGTGTTGGATAAGCCATAAACTTTTATACACTTGGGACCTGCTATGCATAGGGATTATTGTTGTTGTTCTGTCACTAAGTTGTGTCCAACTCTTTGCGATCCCATGGATTGCAGCATGCCAGGCTTCCCTCTCCTTCACTATCTCCTGGAGTTTCAGCATACTTTTTTTGGAGTTTGGAGTTTGCTCCATCTCCATGTTGCTCAAACTCTATGTCTGCTCTATATTCTATGTCTTGTTATACTCATATCCACTATATCATATCTGTTATGTTAATGATGCCATCCAACAATCTTATCCTCTCTCGCCCCCTTCTCCTCCTGCCCTCGATCTTTCCCAACACCAGGGTGTTTTCCACTGAGTCAGCCCTTTACATCAGGTGGCCAAAGTATTGGAGCTTCAGCTTCACCATCAGTCCTTTCAATGAAAATTCAGGTTTGATTTCCTTTAGGATTCATCGTAGCTTAGTCACTAAGTCATGTCCACTCTTGTGACCCCATGGGGTATGGCCTGCTAGGCTCCTCTGTCCATGGGATTCTCCAGGCAAGAATACTGGAATGGGTTGCCACTTCCTTCTCTAGGGGATCTTCCTGACCCAGGAACTGAACCCAGGTCTCCTGCATTGCAGGCAGAGTCTTTACCAACTGAGCTACAAGGGAAGCCCTCTTTTAGGATTGACTAGTTTGAACTCCTTGCTGTCCAGGGGACTCTCAAGAGTCTTCTCCAGCACCACAGTTCAAAGGCATCGATTCTTCAGTGCTCAGCCTTCTTCACAGTCCAACTCTCACATCTGTACATGACTACTGGAAAAATCATAGCTTTGACTATATGGACCTTTGTCAGCAGAGTGTTGCCTCTGCTCTTTAATACGCTGTCTAGGTTTGTCATAGCTTTTCTTCCAAGGAGCAAGCATCTTTCAATTTCATGGCTGCAGTCACAATTTACAGTGATTTTGGAGCCCAAGAAAATAAGATCTGTCACTGCTTCTACTTTTTCCACATTTATTTGTCATGAAGTGATGGGACTGGATGTCATGATCTTAGCTTTTTGAATGTTGAGTTTTAAGTCAGCTTTTTCACTTTCCTCTTTCACCCTCATCAAGAGGCTCTTTAGTTCCTCTTCACTTTCTGGCAGTAGAGTGGTATCATCTGCCTATCTGAGGCAGTTGATATTTCTCCCAGCAGTCTTGATTCCAGCTTGTGATTCATCCAGCCTGGTGTTTTACATGATGTACTCTGTGTATAAGTTAAATAAACAGTGTGACAATATGGAGCCTTGTCATATTCCTTTCCCAATTTTGAACCAGTTGCATGTCTGGTTCTAACTGTTGCTTCTTGACCTGCATACATGTCTCTCAGGAGACATAGGGCTACTGAGTAGGAAATTGGGGTAAAAGCAAGAGAATGGATACATGCAGCAGAGAACATCTCCTACTTTACACTTTTGTCAAGGGTGAATCCTAAAATTAGTATGAGAAGGATGTCAGTGATTTATTTCTTTTAAAATGTATTGGTTTTCAAATGAAAGTGATATATAGTTATCAAAATTTCTAATAATACAGTTGTATGATCAAAAGCTAATTACCCTTCTCAACGCATTAACTACCGTTGGTGATTCAGAAGTTTTTGCATATGCAGGAAAGTATTAATGAGTTTAAACATATGTATTCTCACTTGGAGTGGTAGGCACTGAGTTGTCACTTGCCAGCTGTGTGATATTTGGTAAATTGAATAACTTCTCTGAATCTCAAGTTCTCCATCTGTAATGTGAGGGTAGTAATCTGGGTTACAATAGAATAAAATGTATATGAATATACCTAGCAAAGCCTCAGGTACAGAGTGGGTACTTTCCTATGTTTCCCATACCTTTTAGGCTAAATTATGGGTGATCTTTGAACATATAGAACAAATGAGCTATTTTGCCACAGATATGAGTTCCTCATAACAATAATGGAAGGGTCAGCAGAAGAAAGCAGAGTTAGATGTTTCAGATGATGGCATGTTGACAAACTTACGTAGTTAAACTTCCTAACTGAGTTGATACACAAAGCTATGGAAACTTCAGATTTATTAAGTTAGATCGTGGTACCTCAGCCTCAGCGTTATTGACATTTTTGGGTGGAGAATTCTTTGTCATGGGTGGCTAATTCTGGCCTCTACTCTTTAGATGCCAGTAGCACCCCTCCTTTTGTGACAACCAGAAACGTCTCTAGACATTGCTAAATGTCCCCTATTGGGGGAGGGAGGACAAAATTACCCCTACTTGAAATATCACTGGACTAAATAAATATATTTAGAATTAATACATTTCAGAAATTTTATTCCACAAAAAAACATATTATTTAAAGAATGACATGTGTGTGTGTGCTTAGTCAAGCTCAGTTGTGTCCGACTCTCTGTGACCCCATGGACTGTAGCCCTCCTCTGTCTGTGGGATTATCCCTGCAAAAATACTGGAGTGGGTTACCATTTCCCCCTCCAGGGGATCTTCCTGCCCCAGGGATTGAACCTGTTGTACCTCCTGCATTGGCAGGTAGGTTCCCACTACTGAGCCACGTGGGAAGCCCTTTCAATAATCACATTTGTTTTTAAATTATAGAGAATCATTTGCCTTTGATTAATGTTATGAATAGAATCTTTCTTTGAAAAATATTTCTAATGAAAAAGTAGAATTTTTGTTTGGAATATTAACATAGAGAATATTTAAAGCAGATGTGTGTACATCATTTAGGTTGGGGGGGAAATAAGAAATAAATTCCGTATTGTTACAGCAACTCTGCCTTTCAGCGAAGCCCCTCTGTCACATTAAGTAGGCTTAGAATAGCGACATCCTGAAATGTTTGCACTAAACCTAAGTAGTAAATTGGCACTGGACATCCCTTCCTTCCAGCAATGACTTTGTTTGTCTGACACAGTGACCCTATATTGTTGAATTTATATCATCGATTCAAGTTCAAGCTTAAGACTCTACTAACTTCAAATATTCTGGGTTAATTTTAAATATTTCTCATTGACTTTTCTTAATTCATATGGAGGAAAAAAGTCTGAGGATCTGAAATAATAACACCTTATTTTGTGTTGGAAGCCACCAGAGAGAGATGAGAAATTAGGTTAAGATTGAAAAATAATAAATCTCAACTTGTCCTAAAATGTCACACAATGTAATTGAGCTCCTGGAGTTAAGTGGCAAAATGGCTTCTACAGAATCAGAAAACCCTGGTTTCCCAGTTGAAGGGAGTTGTTGTCTCAGTAGATGACCTTCTAGGGGTTGAATTCAGGCTGCTGAGAAAGACCATTATGCTCAAGGCTGTTGTGTTCATAAGCTCTCCTTTACATTATCTCTCTTGCAAATAATGTCACTGTTTTGAATGTATATTTGTGGATGTGTAGGCTTTGTCTGGCTTCCCTGGTGGCTAAGACGGTAAAGAATCCACCTGCAATGCAGGAGACCTGGGTTCGATCCCTGGGTCGGGAAGATCCCCTGGAGGAGGGCATGACAACTCAC